ATGATTATAATCTTTTAAAACATCATCAATGTAAATTTCTGATTTTTTACGAAGTGAATTTGACAATGTCAGCTCATTTACAAGTACACCATCATTGACAGCTGTTTTTGTATTATACATTGCTTGAAGATCTTCAATAGTTTGACTGGTTGGTGATGCAAACCCATCTTTTACAATTTTGAACATCAAACAAAGCTTCAAATTCCATGATGGTTGAATTGGTCCGTGACAATAATAATCAATGGTGGATGAGCATATCATAGGCGCTTTTTGAAGTAATTTCGCAAAACTTAACATACTTTATTTTAAAATATATTAATTAATATTGTCACAGAGGATGAACGGGCGTAAAAAAATTTTTAGACAAGAATTTAACTGTGACAAGGTTTGGCTGCACTAAAATTTAGTGAAAATCGTGAAACTTGGACAAAAAGTTTGCTATTATTAAAAAATGCAAATTATTCCTATTAAAATAAAAATAAATTATTATTATTATTATGTAAATAATTAAAAATTGAATTAATTCCGAATCGTTACTCACACTTTCAAAAAAGGCATGGTCGTTTTTAATATTAGAAAAGTAATAATTTCCGAATTGTTACGTTTTTTTCTTCACAATTTCGAAAAAGGCATGGTCGTTTTTATTATTAGAAATAATATTTTAATAAAACAATTAATTAATTCCAAATTGTTTTTTTAGTGGCGATGCTAATACTAAATCAATAATGGATTAATTTCTTGCTGGTATTTTTAGTAGCAAGAGATAATCGTTTTCAAAAAAAGCTTAATTAATTTTCTTTAACAACACATTAATCAAGCGATTCCTTTTTCATATTTTTTTTTTTACTTATTATAACTAGAATTTTTTGATGTCGAATTTTCTACCTGTTTTCTAAGAATATGGCCGTGTAACAATTCTTTCTGATCGTACACCGCCAGATCTTACAAGAATATATCATAAAAAGTGGAATAAGATAATAATCTTTAAATCTAATTAATTATATATTTTGGTTGATAAAAAAACAA